CTTCATTACGGCTCTGATAACCGCTGTCCTGGCTGTTCCTGGAGCGGTGCGTTCGGGCGTGTCTCCACGATGTTGGTCTGCTGATACACTTCTGAGCAGGTCGGCCCTGGTACCGTTGACAAGGTGCGTGTTAGAACGATTCACTTCCCGAGCAGCGACGGACCGTTCTCGATCCCCCCTAGCCTACAGGCCCAATCATTAGCGAAGCACAGTTCGCCCATTGGCTGGAGACCACCGATGCGGAGTTGACCTTCATCGGCGACCGACCGGACTTCACCCCGCTCGCGCGGCGTTCCTCACAGAACAATATCATGGTCACACTCTGCAGCCAGCGTGTCGGAAACGTCTGTGGAGGATCGTGCACGGTCTTCAGCGGCACCGGGCCGTCGTGCGTCGACATCCCACGCTCGCAGTGCATCTCGGCGACGGACGACATCGGATACTGCGACGAGAGGGCGTGTGATGGCAATTGCAACGAGCTCGCAGATTGTGGGACCATGCTGAATAACGGGTTCTGTTTTACGTTTGACACGAAGTCGATCGTCCTCCCCATCGAGATACAGCTATGAGATTGTCTGGTGAGTTGAGTCCGGCCGCATATGGATCAAGTGGACTGATGGTGCTGCAGCGTTCTAGAGCTTCATGTTCTAGATACCATGTCATGGCATAATGTATACGGCAGTATATTCGCGTCCACGGGTGGACGAACCGCGCGCCTCAGGGTGAATTTTAGGCTGGGATCTAGCTCACCTACTCTGCCCCCAAGGTGACCTACTCTGCCCCAAGGTGGAGATCGCATGCTGACCTTTCGATATGCCGAAAAGTCTCGGGGACCACGTTCTAGCGCGTAACGCACCCTTTAGCGAGCCTTCGCAGTTGGCCAATTGGGGAGGTTCCTCTTCGCCAGGCACGAACGCACGGTACTCTTTCAAACCGGCCCACGTAATTCTGGCACCCAAAGGTAAACCCAAGCATCACCGATTGCTGTGAGACGGTCAGTCCAGCGGTACTAGCACGCGACTTGAGAAAGCCCGACTCACCACAGGTGCAGGGTAGCCATAGGTAAAGATGAATAAGACCGATCTGCGAGGCGTGCCGTGGGACGCTACAGCCTATTTCGGGGAGGAAGATGTAGAGCCCACCTGTCTCGCGGGATTTGCTACAGAGCACCCGGCCTCGCGTCTCGTTTGAAGCGCCAGCTAGGTACGCCCGCAACCAGACCGACCGGCCCTATGTCCGTACCTCCGACTCCGATGTCGCATCAGGGGCCGTTGAAATGACCGACGGGGGCTGGAGCGAGGAACTCAATGAGCTGAGACCGCCCTCTCTGAAGGCGCATGCGGGATCTGTCAAAAACCACCGCCAGACGAAACTGGAGAAGCACAGAGGACACGACCTCCCGCACCGAAGGGTCGTGATTTTCGCTTCGTGAGTACAGGTGAGCCAGGTGACGGTGGCTAGCGCTGACCTGGTGAATGAACAGGAATCACTGTCAACACGCCTGATACCGGCAGAGAGGATGAGGGGCACAGGATGCGACGAAATTCTCAGGTGAGATCATCCCCGGGGAATCGAAGAGAGCGGTAGACAGCTGCTTGTTTGGCGGACTACTGGACCTACTTTGTGCGGTCCGGCGAGTATATAGAAATGCCAAGGCGGAGTAGACCATTGTGGCACTTCCTCCACTTCACGCTGGTTCCTCATGCAGGCACCCGGGTACATCGTTGCTTACGCGGACCTGCGAGGGCTGTGATGAAGGCCGTTGCATGTGGCATCCGGCCTGGAGTGGCGTACGAGCAGCTCGAAGCAGCGGTCGAGCCTCTCCGCCGAGCAACCTTACGTTTGGACGCGCCTGTGAACTGCGAGAGGATGGTGCATGAGCGACGCTATAGAGGGTCAGTGATCATGTAGTGGTAGGAGCAGTAAAAGCACTCTCACCTGCAACCGAACTTCGACATGCAGCTCTCCGCGATCCTCGCTACCATCACAGCGTTCGCCGCATTCGCGGCCGCCACTCCGGCAGCCGTGAGTGGTCCTTTTCTCTTCCGCTACCGTATTTCAGGTGAAGTACTTACCTTCTGACCCGCGTAGATCTCTGCCTCCATCATCACTGAGGCCGAACTCGCGCACTGGCTCGCCACCACGGACGCCGAGCTCACCTTCATCGGCCAGCGGCCTAACCTTGCAGCACGCTCGGCCGAGACGACGACGACGGTGACCTACTGCACCAAACGCGTAGGCACCATCTGTGGTGGGAGCTGCACGGTGTACACCGGCGGCGCGGCCTGTCTGGATGCGAACGGGACGGCATGCCTCACTGCGACGAAGGACGTCGGGTTGTGCGACGAGACCGAATGCGACGGGAACTGCAACATCCTCTCGCTCTGCGGGACCCCGCTAGCGAGCGGTTTCTGCTTCACGCCGAACACGCGGTCGATCCTGGTGTCGCCTCTTTAGACTTGGAGACTCGGCAGGTACTAAGTGGGCGCAGATATTCGTGAGTAGATACACTACTTACGTCTCTCAGGAGATAGTTACCCAACGCTGCGGAAGCTTCGCCGCTTCAAAAGCTATAAGAGTAGTAGATAGGCAAAAGATGGCTTTGTGTTGGTGGTTCTACGGTTGCCAGCACAATTCCGAGTCGGCTGAGTGTATTGCCATGCCATGGCTAGTTTTCGGAGCTTAGCGACTCATTAAGCCGTTTCCATGCCATGGTCATCTCCCGTGTACTATGGCAATGGAGATTACGATCCAAGACGTTCAGACTTTTAGCAGCAGCGAGATACCACCGGTCGTGTTCAGCGGACAAGACTCAGACTGGGCACTCCGGCGTTTGCCGCAGGCGTCTTTCGGCCGCGTCGCGGCGTCGGACTCTTCATGACCCTCACCATCTCGAGTCAGTACTATGTATTCGCTCATTCTTCCAGTCATCTGCTTAACTGAGGACGGGTATACACGATTGCGTTCCGATTTCATGAAGCTATAAGTACAAGTGTTCGTTCGCCTCACGCAGAGGTGAGCTTCTTCCACGACTCGCGCGAGGAGACTTCCTTCCACCACCTGCGGAGAGAGATGGAGTTTAGCATATTGGTACCACTGCACGAGTTGTCGGCGTGCTCACCTCGCAACGTTAGGGAAGCGGCCAGAGACCAGGAGGTCAATACCCTGCTTCTCGAGGAGCGCACCATAGGGGAGGTGGAAGAGATCCACGATCGTGAGCTCCTGAGATCTACGTCAATGGTTCTGAACTTGTAGTAGCGTCAACAGTACGCACATCACCAGCAAGGAACTTCGTCCTGCCCAAGAGGACGTCGTATGCAGCCAGCTTGCCCTCAAGGGTGGCCTTCAAGGCGTCCGCCTTGGCCTTGTCCGTCTGCTGGCCGAACATCCTATGGCGTTGAAAATTGAGTATCGCGGCGCCCCAGAGACGAAATATGACTGCAAACGTACGGCTTGAAGATGTTCTCGTACGCGAGCCCGGCTGCGGACGGGTCAAAGTTGGTGAGCTCGACGCTCGCCGCCTGCTCAAAGAGCGCGGTCTTCTGGATGTCCTTGGGGTCGGGGATGAGCTTGCCGATGCCGCCGTACTTGAGCGCGATGTAGCGCGCGATCGCGCGGCTCTCGAACAGCTTGAAGCCGTCGTCGTCGATGTACGGCACCTGCCCGAACGGCTGCACCGCGGTGAACTCGGGCGACTTGTGCTCGCCCTTTGCGAAGTCGACGTTCACGACCTCATACGGGACGCCGAGCTCCTCGAGCACGACGCGCACGCGGTTCGTGCAGGTCGACATGACGTTACCGTGGATCTTGAGGACCATCGTGGATGAGTTGTGCGGGTTGAGGCTGAGTCGAGTGGTGAGGTTGTAAGGGTGTGCAGGAGAAGGTGCGGGGATCTGAGTACACATCGTCCCCACCGTCGTCTTTTATACGGAAGGCGGGGCGAGCATGGCCGCCGTCGAAGGCGCGCGAAATATCTGCGTGGGTCGCGGCATCTCCCCATGCAGTCGCTCTCATCCGGTGTCCTCGTTCGGCTTCTTTCACTTGCTCGAGTTGGAAACGGATTACCAGGCTCTCCTGGATGCCATCGCAGGCTTGCTAATCGGGAAACGATCAAGTCAGCACACCCTCGTCATAGTCTCAAGGCACCCCATATCGTTTGCTGATCGTCAACGCAGAAGAATCGATCTACATCGTTATGACCGCCGAGGTGCACGCCAGTGGCCCTCTTCCTGAGCTTATGCTGCGGCGCGGGATGGTTCAAGCTCTCCTGCAAAGGCATTCTATGATTGGAAATTGAACCTACGCTACGGCGTTCTATACTGTACTGTAGATGATGAGGATACTTGAGTATTAGCGATGTGGATCTGATCGATGCCCCGGATCTAGGCTTTCTGGAGGTTACCGAGCAAGAGATCGTATCTCGACTCAACGCCTGCTTGTGCTTCACGTTTACGGCATTACTATTCGTAACGCAGGTTACCCAGTGAGCAGTCTGAGTGTTTACATAGAGTCTTACAAAGATCAACACCCGACTTATTGGTGCTGACGCGAAACAGCTGAGGTCAAGGCCAACCGAATAGGTATAACATCATGTTCATAGCCGCTTCCAAATTCCTGCGACCAAACGGCAGAGCTCATCTGAGTGAATTTGTAGGTGAGGAACGGCTCCGTTGCGTCCCAAGTAGTACATGTACTTCTGAGTCAAGGCGACCATCTATCGACGCTGGGTCACTGACAGATACTTAGGGCCTGGTCGGCTGGCAGTGATCAAGAGATCACTAGTGATCGTGACCGGTGGCTCCCACTGGAAAACTCGAGCAAGCGCTCACTCTCCTCTTCTAAGCGCTCGCTTTCCCCCCTCTAAGCGCTCACTAGTGAGCCTTTTTTGGCAGGAGTGATCAGTTGATCGCTGCCAGCCGACCAGGCCCTTACTTACCGCAAGACTGACCGTACCCACAAAGCATGCACTACTACACGTATACTAAACACATGCACAGCATGGCGAGATGGCCGAGCGGTCTAAGGCGCCAGACTAAGGCAGTTGAGTGGACTCCCGTTTACCCAGCTTGCGCAATCTGGTCCTCACGGGCGTGGGTTCGAATCCCACTCTCGTCATTGTGTTTTGCACGCGCGCAATTGCCTTTGGCTTCGGAGGGTCTTCAACCGTCGTCGCAACCCTCATGATTACTCGGCTAGTGGATGACTTCCCGTAAGGCTTTTCAGACGGGCGCTCGTCTGTAAACTGTCGACTCCACCATGATCGAGTCGGCGATTGAAAACAGGATCTAGATTGGATATACCCCATGGCCGGCTTACTCAGCTGCCCTCAGCGTCTCTCCTGCACCAGGATGGTAGTTTTGTGATGGCGCGCGCCGCCCTCCCTGCCTTTCTCGGCCGCCCCACCTTCCGTTTATGCTGTTTTCAGAATCATTGCAGTTTAGAAGGGGGGGTCGACCCCCCCTTTCAGATTTGGGCGCTTCTGAAGGCCTTCTGAAAACGAGCGCCCGTCGGAGTTTATGGTCGGACTGTGAATCTCTTCCCCGGATCTCGGTACGCCTGCTTTCTTTGGTAGCCCAACGCGGTTTTCAGAAGAGCGCCCGAGTTTTCAGACAAGCGCCCGTCTGAAAAGCCTTACGGGAAGTCATCCAGTACTATGGTATAGACCACACTAGAGACGCACGAAAGCAAGCACGAGGAGACATCGATGGGACACGGACGGCTGTGGACTGCGATGACAGCATGAGCACACGTTTCATCGCCGTACTTCCGACCTGCATAGGGCGCGGACGGCCTGTCAACGTGTGCTCAGAGGCTCGTGAGCCAGCCTCTTACTTCAGCGGCAGACAATCCTTTTTCCTGGATGAACGCTGTATGTAAGTGCAGTTAGGACTCCCTGTTGCTTGCACGCTGTGCAACAACAGAACGTGACTTGTTCAGTCCTCTTTGGATAGCCGAGTCGAGGATCGAGCTCGCGAGAACTCCGGAAGCGAACGCAGTCCACGGGAACGGGAGTTCGAGTACCGCATACAAAGCTCGCGAAACTCAGTACACGCACACGCGGAACTCATGATGTGGGTATTGACCGTGGAAACAGAAATCAACATAGTCTAGATGGCTGAGTATTGAGTATGTAAGGAATGGGTACCATAAGAGAGACGAGGGGAAAGAGGGTGGGAAGGGTGGAGGGGAGGGAAAACAAGCACCGTAAATCGTGGATCCGATAGCGTTGCACAACATTAATGATCATGAAGCAGGGCCCGTGGGGAGGAAAACACTATTATCGACATTCCGCTTCTTTCATCCGATTCCTATATGCTTCTCGTTTCTGCTCTCTACGCGTCGTCTACTGCCCGGGAACGAAGGCGGTGAGGCCGGCGGCCTGCACCTTCGCGGGCTCCTCGCGGTTCAGCACGCCGATGAGGCCGATGAGCTCCGCGCGGATCTCATCGCCGACCATGTCGGGAGCCGTGGGGTCGAGCACGAACGCGAACACGTGCAGGAGCTTATCGAGATACGGCGCGAGCAGAGCGGGCTGCGTCTTGAACAGGTGGAAGATCGCACGGAAGACCGGCCGGTTCTCGAGGAAGTCGTTCCTGAGCGGGAGCGCATCGAAGAAGACAGGGAGGACCTGGTCGAGCGGCATCGCGGCAGTGTTCTTGACGAGCATGCGCGCGACGGCGCCGACAGCGTTGTCGCGAGCGTTGAGCTTCGCGGCGGGGGCGTCGGGCGCGACGACAAAGAGCGGGCGGAGGGCGGCGAGGAGGTGGAGGTACTGGGGGGAGAGGTCGACGTCGGAGTGCTCGATGAGCAGGCCGGAGGCGAAGGCGGCGTTGCACTGCACTTCGGGCTCCTCATCGCTCAGTGCGCGGTAGAACAGGTCCATGAGGGGCTCAGTCCAGGGCGTGATGGCGCTCTTCATGCCACCGATGATCTCAGACAGGCAGCCGATGGCGGAGGAGCGATCGCTGAGCGAGCGGTTCTTTTTCTGTAGTGATGTGGTCAGCCAACGGTAGCAGGGCTATGTGGACCTGTACTTACGTAGTACTTCGAGATGAGGGGGAAGAACTTCTCGAAGCCGCTGGCAAACTCGGGACCGAGGGCAGTCGCGAGGGCAGCGACGAGGTCACCAGCGGAGGAAATGAGGATCGAGTCGTACTCAGCCGAGTCCTCAGGCGCGTCATCCGCCTCGTCCTGGTCGGGGTCCTGCTGGCAAATCGCCTTCTGCTCGAGCACCTGGATGGCGATGTTGGCGAAGTGCTCAAGGCCTATCCATGATCGTCAATACAAGACGGGGGCGAAGTCTGACGAGGCTACTTACGGCCTTCAAGGAAAGCGGGGCCGAGCTTGGTAGTCGTCTCCGCAAGGCCAACGCAGAGGCTAGACACGACCTTCCTGTAGATTGTGAAGCATGGTCAGTAACTGCGTTCAGTCATCGACATGAACGTGAAAGATGAGCTTCAGTGGAAAGAGAGTAGTAAGTCTCATTCGCCCTTGGGGCGTCGAAGTGAGCTGAGTAACGATTTCATCCCATGCAGTGCAGCCGGAAATGAACGAAGATAGGAGAAGGGAACACGACACGCACTTGTTGTCCTCAGACTCGTACATCTCGAGCAGAGGAGGGATGATGTGGCCAATGAGCTCCTTGACACGGGGGTTGAGGGGCACGATGTTCTGCACAAGCGGATGAGCCACAGCTGATCCCAGCGGCTGAATATGAAGTACTTACGGCGAAGCCAGGCTGCCACTCTTGGGGCTCACTGAGGTCGTAGAACACACGGATGATCTCGAGGAGCGAGTCCGTCGCGCTCTTGCGGATGCCGTCGTAGTAGTGCGGCAGGAGCCCGACGAGCTCGATCGTGCACTGCTCGACGTACGGCAGGAAGTGCGAGCGCGTCGCCAGGAAGATCGTCCCGATAGTGTCCGCCGCGATCTCCTTCTCAATGCAGATCGTGCTGTTCACGTCGAGCAGCTGGTCCATGTCCAGGTTATCGTCCTCGTCGATCGCGACCTGCGCCTCGTCAGTGACAGCGATGGCGTTCGCGCGGGACGAGCCCGACGCGAAGCTCGCCGCGACCTCGGGGTTCGTGATCGTGAGCCGCTCCTCCTCGCCGTGCTCCGCCTGCTTGCATGACGCGATGAGCGCAGGGACGACGTTGGGGAGGTACGGGGCGAACTCGTCGCCGAACACGCGCGACATGACGCCGAAGAACAGGAAGCTGCACTCGCGCAGGCGCGGGCTGCCGAGCTCGATGCCATTGAACGCCTGCTTCATCATGTCCGCGAAGTACGGGCGGAAGACGTCCTTGCCGACCGCCTCGGCGAACGTGCCGACCGCGTCCATCGTGATACCGCGGAGCTCCTGCTCCTCGCCCTCGCCGGTGAGAACGAGGAAGTGCTTGAAGCGCTCCATCGTGGGCGCGAAGTAGGGCAGGAACTTGTCCTTGGATGCGTGCGCCGCGCTGCCGATCGCACCAATGACGACGGACTTGACGGGGATGGGCGCAGTGTCGAGCAGCCCGACGAGACGCTCCATAATGAGGTTGAGGTACTGGTCGATCACGTCATGCATGATCTCGAGCAGCGCGTCGAGCGCGGTGCACGCCGAGCGCTGGGTGACGGGGTCGTTGACGAGCTGCATCATGGTGGGGACGAGGAACGCGTGCTTCGCGGCGCACTCCTCCTCGAGCCACTCGCACAGGCAGCTCACCGCGACACAGCTCGCCTTGCGCACCGAGGCGTCCTGGTCCTGGAGACCCGCCTCGATAATCGGCCACACTTGGCTCATGAGCGGCGTCATGAACTCGCTGCAGCCCTCAACGGACACGCCGAGCGCAAGCATCGCGCCGCGACGGTGGGAAGCGTCAGTAGAGGAGAAGTACTGCTGGATGAGCTGGCGGAGGGCGGGGAAGACCTGGGTAGGAGGAAGGCTGGTCGCGAGGCAATCGACGATGCGGAGAGCAGAGCGCGAAGGAGCATCATCGTCGACGTCCTCCGGCTCCTCCTCGGTCGTGATGGGCATGAGGCCCTCGAGGATCGCAGGAGCCAGGTTGTGGGACTGGACCTTCGACTTTTTGCTGCACAGACGGCATAAGTGAGGAACGGGGATGGAGAGAGCCCGTATAAGCGATGATGACTTACTACTGAACAGTCCAGTTGAGCGCGTTAAGAGCGAGGACACGGAGGTCGGATTCAAAGGCACGGTTGGCGCCGCAGCGGAGGAGGAATTCGGCAAGTTGGGGGATGTGCTGGCTGAGGAGAGGAACCTCGAGGATCAGGAGGGTCTCGAGGACGTCGAAGAGCTGGCGCGCGCCGGTCTCATTGCCATCTTGGACACACTGACCGATGACCTCGATCATTGCAGGCAGGAGATGTTGGAAGGCCCTCTGTAACAGCAAGGGTGGTCAGCCCGTGTCCTGTGCGTACTTCTGCGCGAATGACTTACTATGTCCTCCTTGTCGTCAGAGTCAATGTACTGCGCAACAACGCCGAGTGCCCTATACAAATAGTCAACAGCTGGCCGAAGAATGCCTAACGTCTCTCTGAACTTACCGAACGGTCGTAATGCGAACCTCAGCGCTCTCGGGGTCGCTGAGGAGCTTCTCGAAGAGCTTGAAGAAGCTCTGGAGATGCGACTCGAAGCCCTCGACGATGCTCTCGAGCACGGTGTACAGGATGTAGATGCCGACTTCCCGGTGCGCAGCCTGCGGCGACAAGCACGTCTGCTCGAGGAAGGGGAGGAGCTGCGACCAGGTGCCGAGGGGCATCTCGATGGACGCGATCGCAGCGATTACACGGGCGGTAGAGTGGCGGACGAGGTTGCTAGAAGAGTGTAGTGTCAGCTCCGAGAACGGTGGTGTAAGTACATGTTATGCCTACTTTGTTTCTGAGAGGACGATCTCAGGGAGTTTTGCCTTGATCTGCTCACGCTGATCAGCATCAAGCTGGAGCCAGAAGTCACCGCTATTTTGGGCAATGCGTTTTCGGAGCTCGACAGCCGCGAGTTGGCGGACCTGGGGGGTCATCGTCAGTATGCATCGTCAAGATATGCGAGACGCGGGCGGAGGGACATGGACAAAAGTGATGTGGCGACGTCACTCTGCCACTGGTGCAGGGCT